AAAACACCCTATTTAGGCATCTAGTCACCTCCAAAACCGTAGAGGTAAAATTAAAGTATGTCACTCTTCATATAAAATGACTTGGTATCTCAAGTTCGAGGATTAGTTTTGTGACTATCACATGAGAACATACTCTATAAATACTTGAGTGAAATATCAAATGGAGTTCTCATTGCGGGTTATGTTCAGTGAACTAGTTCTCTAACAAGCATTCATGTTATCCTCAAGTACACCATATACTTCAATCTATGAGATTGACTACTTACTTTTTAAGTAAAGAGATTTAATATGTATCAATATTTGAGCATTACTAATGCCTTATCTTGACGATATATTGACTAGGAACTATTTTATGAAAATGACTTTGATGCATAAAGATCTTATAATTGTATCAACTTTAAATTCCCTTACAAGGCATTTTATATTTCATAGGCTTCATCTAATTAGTACTTAATAATTTTTTATTTTTGTACTAACATGAAGGAAAACCTTTATAATATATTATTATAAGATTAAGTGTACATTAAATGACAATATATATTCTTCGACCAATCCAATTGGCTTAAGCGCATATACCAACATAAAGAACAAGTTACATGGTCATGCCCTTGAGGTAGAGTTGAGGCATGAAATTTTAGGCTCGAGCCCAACTCGATGTTAGATCCTATTTGGCCTAGCTTTTTTTTGCTTAAAAGTTATTATGAAAAATAATAACTTTTAAAATTAAGTTAAAGCTGTTTAGTAAAATAAATTATATAAACTCTAATTTTAGTTAAAATTATTATAAAGGGTATTCATACCATCTTCAATCAAATAACAAACCAAAGTGGAAGAAATCTACTTCGAGTTTATATACTATTTCAGATGTTAAAATGGAAGAAATTTATAAAAATAACGAAACAACTCTCAAACATATATAGTAGCAATAGTATTAGATATTTTGGGTGAAGAAGAAAGAAAACTTTTAAATAGTACCTAAATACAACTTTGGATTTCGAGTCTTCTTTTCTCCAAACCTTTATAAGAACAAGAAAAATCATAGATTTTGCTATTCTGTTATTGAGTGTTTTGTATTTTTTTCCCTTTTTTAGTAGTCTTTGTAAAGAGAGGTAAAGGAGAGAGAGATTATGATTTTGCGTTAGAGAAGGGTGATCTGCAAAAGGAAGGAAAGGAGAGGACGATTGATTAAGAGAGAAGGTATTTCTTGAAAAGCTGACATGTTTTTAAAAGAAAATAAGAAAAAACTCCTCTTTGGAGCTTTTCTTTAAACTCTTTTTTTTTTAATTTTTGTTCTTTAAAAAATACTACTTTTTAAGGTTAGAAACATCAACTACAGAAATGCTCAATTGCAAAATTTTATAACTTAAGCTTCCTAATGGCATGGAATAGTCTTCAGTGATTACAAATTTGATATCTTAACTGTAGTAAAATGCTCAATTTGATACCAAAGGAATATAATTTTACAATTAAGTACTCTAATTTTCATTTTATTAAGTAAATTGTATACCTTCTTAACTCTGATAATCAAATAGGTGATGTGATAAAAAATAATCAATACAAGACACCTAACATTTTGATTTTAGACTATTTTTAATCATGTTGTCCATTTAATTAACGGAATAATTTCTCTCAAATGCAAACTATTCAATAAAATCAAAATTAATGTATGTAATTGTAAATTTTTAAACTTTAGATATCAATAAAACATTTGATCATAAGTATAAATAAAAAATATTAACTAACCCTAATATTCTTCATTTGACCAAATTTTCTCTCTTACTTTTCCTCCAAATGAACAACCTCTTTGTCGTGAATGGGCATCTTCTACCCCGAGTTTGTGCTCCCTTCTTTGCCTGAATACTAGATTTTGCCACATTCCATAATTAATGTTGACGTCAAACTTCCGATAGAAATGTCTCCCAACTCAATACCCTCTTGTGCCACTTCCATCTCAAGCAAGTTTCGCAAATCGAGAGACATTCCCAAAACAATGAAATGATGACCCATTTCAAGAACCAGAAACGAAGAGGTCTATTGACCTATGGCTTCGCAACAAGTTCTATTGCCCCATCACCAACATCGACAAGCTCTGGTCTATCGTCCCTCAAGATGTTAAAGACAAGGCCAAGGGTTTGAAGGACCAGATCCTTTGGTTGGTGTTTTTTTTTTTTTGGAAATTTATCCATATTTTGCATACATGGTCTAAACCACAATTTTACAACTTTTGATGGCTATGAATGCATAGATGATTCACAAACACAGAGTAGTAGTGGGTAAAATTTTTTAAAAAATTGCACAACATAAAGAATGTCTTTTAGATTATCGTAAGTAATGTATTTTTGAAATAAGGAAATGCACGTATTTTAAGTTTAAATCATGAGTAGTAAGAAAGCGACATTTAATGATATGATTTTTTATTTTGCATTTTTGGACTTAAATATTTTTTTAGTATTTCATATAATATCTTGTTTAGTTTTATATTTATATTTGTTCGACATTTTTAGATATTGTATGTTTATGATGATTTTTAATTATATCAACTTTACTTGAAATTTTAAATTTTAATAAGTATTTTTCTTATAAATCTTAGATGTCAATTGATAATTTAGTCATCACCAATAAAATTTGGTAATAATTTCTAACCGAACATTCCATCAGAAATTGCCAACGAAATATTTTGATAGAAATACATAATCAACAGAAAATTCAGTTGAAAAGTTTTACCAAATTTCCATTGGAAATGCCTTTTCAATAAAAATTCTATAGGAATTTTTTTTTACGAAATTGATGCGATATAGTTGACAATTTTGTAGCCTTTTTTCGACGATAATATATACTTTTTCCAACAAAAGTATGTACTTTTCTTATCGAAATTTTTGTTGAAAATTTTGGACGAATTTTTTATAAAAAGCATTACTGGTAATATTTTAAATGACGAAAATTTCAATGAAATATTTTATAAAAAAATTTATCAAAAAAAGACATTTTTGACACAATGTTAACTTTTTTTCAACGAAAAATTGCTTTCAAAAAACTTGATTTTTTGTAGTGTCAAGTGAAGGGCAAGTGTTGCCTCTCAATACAGCCAACAAATAGGCAATAATTACCTTCATGCTCTGTTTTGTTACCTATAAACAGGGAAGCAATGGATCTACTGCGGTGATGGAAGAGGCCTTGGATGCCCTTTGATTGGTGTTAACCAGTTTGGTTACTTTAAGGTCTTGGGCAAGGGTGTTTCGCCTGAGAACCAGTTATTGTAGTCAAAGTCAAACTTGTTTCCAAGATTGCTGACAAGAAAGAGGAATTTGTTGTTAAATATAAAACTTTTATTTTTCCTATGTGGCAAAAGTTTATTGATGGGGCAAAGAGACGGGGTACATTTTGGGGCAAAAGATTTTTGTTCTTTTCTCATTCTCTAGTTAAACATGAGTCCCTGTATATTCAATGACCACGATAACAATTACCAAAATAAGTGATATATTTAGTCGTAATTAATATATATTCGAGGTGTTATAACTATTGGAACGATGGATTCAACGTATTCTAATTATTTTTTCCATAAATAACCTTTATATCATTGATTAATCTTCTAATATTATTTTATGACACTCTTTTCTGCCATATATAAAGTTATCATTTTATTTATTAAATTAAAAGAGTATGACCTATCACATGGTCCATAAAACCTTTTTAGGCCGATGTAGCAAGCCCCTAGAAGCTAAGTCACAAACTTTTATGGTTTGTTTTGTGGGTGGAGTACCATGTTCTATCTTGTTTTGTGCCAAAGCATGTGGAACTCATCTTCAAAGAATGGGGCAGCCAAATTATGATACTACATTTATGCACCAAACATGTATAACACTTGGTTGAACCTTTATACATATTTAAAATTTAAACTTCAAAATTTTGAGTTTGATTTACGAAATAAATAAGAGGTCTCCTTCTATATAATAAAATCATATATGTATATAAATAAATATTAAAGTATGAAAATGAAATGCCTGTGTAATATGTCATTTCGTTTGAGGCATAATTGTCCTTTCTTAGGACGAAACTAATTTTAATGAATATACATTTACTAATTTTTATTTAAAAAAGAAAAAAGAAAAGAAAAATGACGTGAAGTTCCCGACCGTCCCGATAGTCAAAGAAGCGAGGCGTTCGCCGACCGTTGCGCGGTCGTCCCTGTGGCCCATGCATTTCAATTTACAAGAATATTTTAATTAAAAAAAAAAAGAAATTGTTTTTGCTTGCTAGTACTACATTGATTTTAAATCTTTATTTTATATATTTGCCTAGTAAAACTTTATCAGCTTGCTTTTACTTCACGCATTTGATCACCATCCCCATAAATATTATTATTTTAGAAGCAAGAAAAATTCTAGTATATACGAAGGTATTAGTAATTTACAACAAAATCAAGCCCAACTTAATTATTGAAACTTGTGGCAACACCACCTTTTGCACTTGCAAGCAACATCCCCTTCCCCCACCACTCCCACCCATTGCTCTCTCTCCCCTCGTCCCGCACAATATATAATATTACCCTAGCTGTACTTGTCTTAGCCAAATCTATCTTTTACAAAGACACAAATTGACTATTTTTGTTCTTAAGAAATTAAAAATTTTTGTAAAAAAACTACCATGTAGCACTTGAACTTGCATGAATCTCTCTGTCTCTTTAATTTACTACTTGATATTTATATTTATGGAGTGAATGTTTGGCCGTGGCAATCAGATGAGAAAGTGAGAGCTGGGTCTAAAAGAGAGAAGAAACTAGGAGATTCAGGGGCAGAGCAGAGATATTAAATGGCTTTGGAAGAGAGGAACCGAAAGAACACAAAGTTAGGACTGGTTTTCAGACACCAACCTGACCCCTCCCGACATTTGTGCTCTCTCTCTCATTATTTCTGTTTGTATATATTATTTGTTTTTTCCTTTCTTTTTCCCCTTCACTCTTTGCTTTCACCAAGACCACATCAAAACACAAAACAAGCGCGGCAATCCTCAGTTCCCAACCATTTGTCCAATTCACTCTCTCTCTCTGTCAATAACCCCACAGAACCCCAACCCTTTTCAGTTTCCTCATTGAATTCTGTCTCTGCCTTTTAACATAAAATCCCCCACACGCCCACCGTGTAGACCAAACTCATTTCAGCTTCCTAGCTGTATCTCCCCTCCCAAAAAGACTAGTACAACTCATACATAATCCCCTTTTATATTTCAACCATACAAAGCCAGCGACCGGTCCCAAACTAGAAGTACTAGCAGTTCCTCACCCGGAGAAAGAGAGGGATGAACAGCTTTGAATCTCAAAGACAAGACTCCTTGAAAAGGAGATTGCAAGACAGAAGATTTCCAACATCAACACCACCAGATTTGTTGGCTTGTTGCAGCTGCTCCAATCACACCTCATCACTCCTCTGCACCCTTCCTCCCTAACCCTAACAACAGTACCAAACTCCAGAGTTTCCCTGGTCTTGATAATGATGATCTCGTTTCCAGCGTCGTCCCGCCAGTGACTGTGTGCTCGAAGGCCGTTCATCTGTCGCGCATCAGTCTCCATAAGCATGCAAGCTACCATAGCCTTGCAAAGGCTCTCAGGCAAATGTTTGTGGAGGGAAACGACGATGGACCCACCTCGGAGAATGAACTAGATCTTTCCAACGCTGTTCCTGGTCACCTCATTGCCTATGAAGACATGGAAAACGATCTTCTTCTTGCTGGAGACCTCAACTGGAAGTACGTTTAGTTATTACTATATAATTTCAAGCATTTCTCTTTCCCTTAAACATAATTATTCTAAAAATTTTAGTACTGGTAGTTTGAAACCACCCTGTTATATATTTTCCATTTAAGTATGATTAAGGCTTTTTAAATTATCTTGATGTGTGAAAATAGGGATTTTGTACGTGTGGCTAAGAGAATTCGGATACTGCCAGCGAAGGGGAATTCAAGGAAAGATTAGAGGAGGGGCATAGTTTGTTGGGTTTTGCCATCTTATGAGAGGATGGTGTATTTGTCAAGGCAGTTATATATGTGCAAACATACAGAAAGAAAGAAAGAAAAGCAGCAAATTAAAGCCCATTTGCAATGAGATTTTGATATGTTCTAGTCCGAGAGCTAGTCCTTAATTGGGAATTGGATTAATTATAGCAGCTTCTCATAACTCATATATATATATATATATCTAGACTTACCTGTAGCCTTCTCCTTTTTGTCTTTTTTCCTGAATAAAAGAACTTTTCCTATAGCATTTCATAGTGACTGCTCTTCTACTTGTTTAGGGAATGCGTTAAAATTCTTCTGTGCTATATATATAAAAAAAAAACGTACTTGGCTTTAATCTTAATATACCTGCTTCTTTTAATTTCTCATGTTTGCTTCCTTCTCTCTTTCTTTATTGGTTGTAGTCAGATACTATTTAGTCATGCCATAAATAGTGAACTCAGATCACGGGTCATTTTGTGATATTTAGGTTAGGTTATTTTCGGTTTCACAGTGTTTGCTTTCTGGAGCTATTGGATTCCCAATCCTTTTAGATCCAGTGATTTCAAGATCCAATTACTACACCTATCGATTCATTCTAAAACTCAAGTCATAAATATTAAATTATTTCGAGTTCGAATTCGTATTCCCTCTCATCATTTTAAAATTCGAATTATATTAAAATCATTTAGATTTTAAGAAATTTATATTGGACACTCTTATTATTTTTAATATTTTACTTGTACATAGTCTTAGTTATATGAATCTCATTTTTGAGAAACTATTATATTAAATTATTATTAAAATGTTAAACTTATCTGAGTTAACATATCATATTCATTCAATACTTTTTATATATTGATTAAAATCAGTGATGGAGTTAGCTAATTTTTGTTGCGAGGATCAAAAACAGTAAAGTAAGGATTAAAAATTTTAAAATTTAAAATTTAACCAACAATCAAAAGAATGAGAATGAAAAATAATTTTATATAACATAGACATCTAAAAAGAAAGATTTAAAATAGTTTTTCAATAAAGTTATACTCAATTATGTTTTCTTGATTTAAATTTATTAATTATTAATTATGTATTAAAAACGTCAATTTCTTTAAGATTAAGTTTTAGATGTTTTGATTTACATTACTCTTATTTATGAGTTGAAGTATTGAGGCTTGGTGGTTTAAGTGTAGGAGAATTATTTAAACAGTTTGCATATTTTCTTTTAAAGAATTTATTAATTGTTTTCAACTAACTCATACTTTAATCAAATTTGAAAAAAAATTAATACAATCAATATCCAATAATCTGATTTTATTTCTATTTAAATTTATAATACAAAATGTAAAACTATAATGCAGAAAATATAAATAGTTAAATACGATTTATAAGTTTATAATTTTCTCTTATTTAATCAAGATTGTTTAAAGACTATATATTCAAGATAATTTTCTTTTCACTAAATATAAAATGTAAAGCACATAAAAAAAATATTCTCAAATTAATTTCCTGCTACATAATTAGGATTAATAAAAAAAATAATGTATTGATGAAATTTTAAGAAACAGTGCAACACTACAATTATAAAAAAATTTATGGGAGAAAATCTATAGAGACTTAGAACATATGAGTAAATAGAATAAAAATAAAAAAAATAAATATAAAATATAATAATAATATAAATTGAAAGAAAAAAAAATTAAAACACACTTTAAAGTTGAGCGAGGCATATGAGATCATTTTGTTATTCTTTATTTGTATAAATTATTAAATAAAGAATTTATTTTGAGAGGGTCATTAAGAGAATTTATAAAAAAATTTAAAAATTTTATAAGGTATGGGAACAATTTTAAAAATTACTATAGGAGGCTCCACCCCTGCTTAAAATTAAAATCTTAAAACATTAATAATATTAGAAATAATAAAAGAACACCATGTTCAAGGAATTTTGGTTTTTTACAATAATAAAATATTAAATTTAATTAATAAATGCATAAAATTTCAGTCTAATTAATAAAAAGATTTGAACCTGTTTTTAGTATTGGTATTATATGTAATATATATAAAAGTACTTTACCGGGTATGGGAGTAAAGCTGGTTGTAACGTTACAAAATGTGTGATGGATTCCCAAAGGAATGACACTCTAATACTGGTGGAATTCATTCCCTGTTTCCTTATAGCTGGTCTTCAAACTTCACTGCCGTTATATGTGAGACTGTACATCTTACAAACAATATTAATACATTGCGGGCTACGGTATACTCTAATAATAGCCACCATTACTCGGAAAGGAGTACCAACCATGCTTAATAATTAGGTATTCTATGTGGGGACTCTATATTTTTTTTTTCCAAATATTAAGTGCAAAGGCTTCCTAAATGGGTTTTTATCTTTTTAAGATAATAATTTGTTCAAACATAATATATATATATATATATAGATAGATAGATAGATACACTGTACATTAGGCTTGTCTAATTAAGTCATTTGGATTTATAACTCAAATGGTAAAAGATCAAGCACAATTAGTAAAAATTTTAAGTTAAAATCTTGGTACTCTATCTTGTAAAAAGAAAGATAGTATCTAAATAAGCTAGAGCTCATCTGTAATAACCCCAATTGATCAAGGAACATATAATTTTACCATGTAAAATAAATTATAACTCATTTGTTGCAATATTTGGGTGCAAGAACCTAACCGCTTTAACACGACTCAAACTAGGAGGTTGTGATTAGTGCATGAGTCAACCAAGTGAAATCCATGAGACTCGAGCAAGCCTTAGAAATATTACTCCAATTCAAACACAAAACATGTATCCATGGGTTTACATAACCAACATATATTCGTTTAACACATAATCTCAGAGTTCATACACATTGTCCCTCGGCACATAATTCAAAGTTCATTACTTAGACATAGACATATCATTTACAAGCCATACATTGACTAACAAAGCGGGTTCGTCTTGTACAATTTTTAACACAAAAATATACGGCAACATAATGCCTACACAAATTCCAAGTTAAACATAGTTCGTAAATGAAAACTAGAAGTAGAAACTATTACAACTCGAACTCAACAGAGTGGACCCATCGGATAGGAAACCTATCGTATGTCAAAAATTTTCATTCAAAGAGACAACACTAGCCATGTGAATCCCACAACTTCACTTATCTGCACATGGTACAATAAAAAGGTGAGTCATCTAATACAAAGTGAGTGAGATGCTAAACTTGACATAGTCAAATGACGTACGATGGCCAACCGATGAAGTTAAATCATGTTCAATTTCCCAGGCTCTAAACTACCTTTCTCAATCTCTAAAATGCCATAAGGGATGTAAGGTTTCAAAAGGTAGCAAAGAGCTCTTTCTTTCCTATTTTTCTTTTCTAAATGGGCAGATAGCCTAAAGCACTTTTATTTTTTTTGTAAATTTTCATGCATGTATCGATATATTTGTAAATGTATCAATACATTTTCATGGATTTCCCTTAAATCTATTGATACATAAGGCAATGTATCGATAGAAATCAAATAGAATGCTCTTTGCTGGAAGTGTATCGATAGTTTGAGAAAATATATATACATTTTTCACAGAATATCCATTGACCCAAATCTATTGATATATTTGGACAATGTATCGATAGAAATTATATAAAATGTTCCTTTCTTCAAATCTATCAATACATTTGGACAATGTATTGATAGAAATTATACAAAATGTTTCCCTAATTCAAATCTATTGATACATTCTTGAATGTATCGATAAAAAATTCATAAAATGCCTCTTTATGTTCTTCCTACAAAGAATTTATTTGATACATGAGAGAATATATCGATACATTTTTCCCCGAATTGCATATTTCCAACACCCTAAACTTCCTAAGTCCAAATTCCAAACTCTATAATCATTTCATGCTTACATCACACTTTAATATGACCATATAACTCATAATGTCAATTCATATATTCAAGCCATAGTCCATTATTCATCAAACTCCGAAACATGTTAGTTCACCATTCATTTCTTCAAAAATTTAGCTATGTATGATGGTTCATACTTTTAGTAACTTAGCATATATATATCCTCAAACATATCAAAATTCAAAAATCATTCTCTAGAGACATAATTAAGCTATATATATATATATATATATTCTCAAACATATCAAATAATTAAGCTAACATCACACATAATTCATATCAAAGTTGGGGCCATTACACACTTGACGTGAAATGTAGTTGCCACCAATCCTTTTTATTTAGGTATGATTGATCACTTAATTAAATCCATCTTTTCTAATGGGATCTTAAATTTGACATAAGTTCATTTTAAAAAACTAGTTTCCGAGTTATGAAACAATTTTATGGTTTGAGATTATGATTATGTGTAGGAAAGTATTAACACCCCTGCAACGCTAGTTCAAAAAACAATACCAATTAATCGTGTATTATCTCATTTTGGTCTCAATTAATAACTTTTAATTTCATGTTTGCTTATATTTCCATTAATCATACTTAATTATTTGTTAATTTTTTCTTTTTCTTTCATTTTTTAGTCACTATTAAATATTAGAGATTTTCTAAGTCTTCCTAACATTTTGGTGGGACTTAGGAAAATTTTCCTCAACTTAAGAGTATTCAAGAAAACACATTATTTTCTTCTAGAGATTCTGTTGTTGAATTCATTTGGTATTTTATGAAAAAATAGGTCTTGATTTTAAATTTTAAATTTTTATTTTTAATTTATATTATTATTTTACCATTTTTTCTTATTATTTTTGAAATAATTATTGATTTTATTAAATAAGTGAAATCCATTATATTAAAAACTCCTCTCATTTGTCCCAAAGTTTTAATGAAATTAAGAAGTATTCTATTATCTTAAGAATTTTCAAGGAATTTGTCTATACAACATTCTTGAGAAATCTCATCATTAGGGATTTTCATTTATGGGCTTAATTGACATTTTCTATGCATATGATGCAAACATGCAATGAATTGTTCAATTTTTCAATTTTATTAAATATTAAATGAAATCTATGTTGAAAATTTTCCTATATCTCCAACACCTTGGTGGTGGAATATAAAAATATTTCCTCACTTAGAGAATTTCCCAAGAAATTTGCTTTACAATTTTTTAGAGAAAATTTCATCGTCAGAGATTTTCAGTTATCTACTAGTGCCAACATCTTGCTTTGAATGAATGTAATACGCTAAACAATAAATTATGAAGATGCATAAGGGTTTATTAATTTATTATTTTTATCATTTTTAATTTTTTTAATTTTTTTGATGTATTTTATTATTATCTTTTAAATATAATTTTTTAATTTCCAAAATATATTCATTTTTTATTATTGATTTATTTATTATTCTGTATTTGTTCTTCCTTTTTTTTATCCTATATATTTCTTTATAATTAATATTTTCCTGAGGAAGACATATTTACTTATTATTAGAACTAATTGCTTATCTAGTATTTATTTTTGCTTGTTCCCTTTCCATATTATATCTTTCCATCTTTTCTATTTGTCCTTTTTGAAAATATATTGCTTTATTAATTAATTAATTATGTTTGTGCTTACTATTATTTTTAACTTATTTTATTTTTTATTGAATCATGTTATATAAATTTAATACTTTGTTTAATTATTTATTTATGATTATTTGAATTGATTTTGATATTGAAATTAAATTTAAGGAAACTTTCTAACACTTTGATGGAGCCCTATAAATTATTCTTCACCTTAAGAAAATTAATTTGAAATAATCTCTACATATTTCAATTAAAATTCCATCATTGGGTATTAATCAAAATTTTATAGATTGCTATTAAACATTTTAACATCCCTTTTTCTATTGTCCAAAAAAAAAAAACTTAAACATGAGAGAAAAAGAGTAGAGAGTTTTTTTGCATGTAGGTATGGAGAAGGGGATGCAGCCATGGGTCACAATTAGCAAGCGTTTCAAGGCACTAGGTATCGCAGGCAATCTAAGTTGGCATGTTGGAGGAGGTCTCTATACATAGTTTTACGTTGAGAACTTGGTAATCTAATGGGCTAGTATCAAATCAGTGTTTGATCAATTTGGTGTTGTGGTTGATGTATTCATTCCAAGATCCATTAGACAGAAGGGTATTATTTTGCTTTTGTCCGTTTCAGGTTTGCTAGGGAGCAACAAGCATGACATTTTGATTTAGACTTCTTCATAAATTTTACTCTTCGATTCAAAATTCAAACTATTACAATTTGCTTCTCCAAGGCTTCCAAATTAGGAGTAATTGTACAACAAAGTAAATAATACTTGATGGCATGGCAATTGACAACCAAAGAGTCGTCTTCTCAACTAGATTGAGTCCTCCCGAGGGGTACATAATTTATCTCCACCAATTCTTTCTTTTAGGACTCCACTCCATTGTTATATTTTTATATAATATATAAGAGTTTATTTTGTTCAAAATAAAATTTCAATAACTTAATTAAACATAATAAAAATATAAAAATTTATTTGAATTTTTGTTTTAAATAGTTGAGGGACTTAGTTATATATTATACCAAAATTTTAATAAAATTTGAAGAAGCAAAGTTGTTCTTTTTTTAACCGAAATAAAATTATTATAGCAAACTTTCACACAATTTCAGTAATCCTATTATTTCTTCATTAATAAATTCGAAATTCATGTTAAAAACTTTTAAAGTAAATATATGAACAATTAAAATCCCATGCAAAATCCACTTAAGAAATCATATCCAGCTTTAATTAGTCTCCAACGTCTGCTATTTCCTCATTATATGATGAAAGCATGCACATGTGAGGGGAACATATATCATTAATAAAGTTTCAAGTGACAAATTGAGGGGAAGCGCCCTCCTTGAAAGGAAACAAGGGCAATTAATCTAACATTACAACTCAGTCTAGGCTGGATTCAATTATATTATATTATATGCATTCTTGGATGGGATGTCAAGGTGGAAAAAGTTCGAAACGATGGACCCAACCTAAATAATGAGTACTGCTTTCACCCTCCAGTAGAAACTTGGTGCAGTTAAAATGATAATGAAATGTCCATTGTCAGATATTCCAATTAGCAAGTCTTGGTGGCTTTCATTAATTCTTTGCCAAACGGAATATCACAAATCTAGGTGTAATACATGCATTTCATCCCCACGCTTTTAAATATAACCCAAGTCTGTCTCTTCATCAATCACCATTAAAAATTAACGAAATATGCTATCTTAATGCAGGGTGGACGTTCACATGGCATTGATTTCAACCTAAAAAGGTCCAATGAGTCCACCTTTTTTGTCACGTGGACATCTAAGGTAGCAAATTTTGTCATATTTTAATAATGGTTGATATAATGAATAAATTTGTTACATTTTTAAAATATCATGAATTCAAAAGTTGAGTTTTAAAGATTTTAAATAAAAAATAAAGACATAATGCTTGAAAAAATCCTTGAATTTTTTTTTTGAAAAAAAGTTTTAGGCATAATATTTAAAAAAACCCTTGAATTATTCATAAAAATTCAAATAAGCTCTTAGACTTTTATTGTGTTTAATCAAGTTCTTATACTTTTATTTTAAGCCAAATAAGTTTTTATATTTTTATTTTGAGTAGAATAAGCTTTTATGACTAATGATTCATTTCGTCAAAATATTATTTGTCAGTTTATGCGACGTGATGTTAACGTAACATACTAATATTTCTTAATTGATGATGATGTGGTATGCTGATATATCATAATTGATTATGATTGGCATGATAACGTAACCATATAGCATTTTTCATCCTTCACATCAACATCATGTTAGTATTATGTGGATATGAAATGATAAGTGATATTTTGACTAATAACAATTAGTCAATCATTAATCATAAAAGCTTATTTGATCTAAAATAAAAATATAAGGATTTGATTGAATACAATAAAAGAATAAAAATTTGTTTTAATTTTCTTGAATAGTTTAGGAACCTTTTTGAAACATTGTGTCAAAATTTCAAATAAGCCCATATTCTTTTTTTATATTCAATTAAACCCATTTATATTTTTATTTGAGATCAAATAAACATTTATGACTACTAATTGATTAATTATCATTTTTTGTCATTCATCAAGTGTTGAAATGACACTGACATAGCAATAACGTATAAGCTAAAAAATATTACATGGTCATTTCTTCATATCACATTAACATACCACGTAATCATTCATCATAACATCTCAGTACGCCACGTTGGTGCCATGTAGTATAAAATGATAAATTATATTTTAATCAATAAAAAATAAAAAATATATTTGTCAATATATTTTTTCTTATCTTCAAAAATGCAATTACATTTATTAATCAATTTAAGCAGTATATGTCGATACAATAATAAATGATGTGTTTGACACTATAAATATCAAACCAATGACAGATTTTTCTTTTGCAGCAAAAATTCCTTCACCAATAAACCACAATTACTTGTACTGCTTAGCAAAATGCAAAAACCACTTCAATGAAGACTTGCACGTGCATTTGACTTGTCTTTATCAAAAAATTGTTTTAAAAAAAATAAATAATGTTGTTAATTGAAAACTTATCCTTTTAAAATCACACTCCCATGTAATTATGAAAAATTTAAAATGAAAATATGAATGAAATGTCTTTATTGATCACGTATACATGAATCATTGCAGAGGACACCAAAATTGAGAGTTGGAAAAGAGTACGAGGTATGGCGGCTTTGGTTGTTACAAGGTCTCACATCCGTTGATCCATTCCACCACTAACGTTGTAGATGTGTGGTACAATGGTGATATATCCGACCAGGCACGGTCATTCTTGGAAATTCAACCAAATCTACAGTGTCACGTCAACGCTGTTACCACCTCTAGTGCGGTTCCCCATAACGGCAACCACCTTCAATCAAAGCAGTTATGCTACCGCTATGTCTATGTTACACCACTACCATCTTCTTTTCCATAGAAGCAGAAAAGGAGGGGAAAAATATCTCAACCACAAGCAAAGCAATCTGCTATAGAGCTAGGGAATCACTTTCCATATTTATTAATGTGGTCGAGAGCATATAAATAATACCTTAAGCTGGAGAATGATCAAGGTTAAGAATCAATTGATACAGTTTTTCTTCTGTTTGCAACAACGAAAGGTTTGAGGGTCATGAAGCACAGTTTAGATTTCTGCACTTTCAAATGGAGGCAAACCCCACTCACTTGGGTTGAATTCTGTTAAGGAGCTCAGAACTTGGTCTGCTATGGCGTGGTGAGAGCTATCGAGCCTCGGATCTGGAACCATAACCACAGACCTATGCAAATGCCAAATAAAAGGGGGAAAGAACTTAGAGAGGTCAGAAGGAGCACAAGGGAAGCATTCAGTAGTACACAAAGCTATAAACGATAAAGCATCATACAATTAGATTAAGGGCAATATATCTTAACCACATAAGAAACAAGCTAAATGCTTTGCTAGCAAATGAATATATCAACTCATCAAGAACAATATTTTTAGAGGAACTTCCAGCCTCACGACAAAAAAAAAATCCCAAGGAAATAATGATGCAGTAATTGTGTTAGACGACTGACTCGTTTGCCACATAAACCAAAGCTCATCATATATAAGAAAGTAACAAGTTCTTTGAATGTGTACCCGCAAACAGATCAAAATAGTTATAACTCAAATCTAGTAATCAAGCATGGAGGATCCCTGGTACTTCAGCCAAGTTGCAATCCTCACAAGAAAAGAAAATTAACCTCAAATTTCTTCTTCCAGGAAACTTCAGAGAAATGACAACAATCACACATCTTGCACTTGCCTGTGCCACAGAGAGTTTATTTCCACAATCCTATATATCCATAGTGAAATCCCTAAAAGCCAGCAATGTCCCATTTATTTAGGTCAGTCTATGTACAAAAATTTTAGAAAATTAATCATTGGTTAATTTGAACCACACGCATTTTCTCCAAACTGTCGGGCAATATCATCAATACACCACTCCTATGACCAAAATAAGATGCGTCAAACAATGGAATGTAATGGACCATCTAGTTAATTTCAAAAATTAGCATGATGATAAAAAAATTATGAAGAATGCCACAACATCCTGTAAACGTCAAAAAAATGCCAAGAAACAAAGGCTTGGAGAGGGCACTAGTTTGAGCAGGTAGCCACTTCTTGACGGACTGAACATGATCTTATGAAGGTAGTTTTTATGGTCAATAACCTACTAAAAACTATCTCATTTTGTAATAAGAAAGAAAATGATATAGCATTTCTAAAACCAGAGGAACATGCCTATGATGTCCCAATTCATTAATCACTAGTATTATAAAGCTAAAGACATATCCATTCAAGGCTGGATTGTGCGGAGAAATGTATCCAATATAGAATCTTGAACCCCTAGAAAGTGGCACTAATTCCTGTTTGATCCAGAGATCAAAAGCTGATATTGCTAAAACTGACTAAGCTATATAGAACCTGGTCACTGGACTCATTAAAAAGGAATTTTGTGCCATAAATTTAATCTCTAATAGATATTAACACTCACCTCCTCGCTAGTTCATGATCCTGTCAATGTATGCCATAAAATATTGAGCTATTCATCAACCATTAACTGACTACTACTATGCAAGCGTGCATCATTGCCAACTTACATAGATCTTTACTGTGAGAATTTTTGTAATAGAACAAAATCACAACCCTGATATTTTAACTGATTCAACATAGAAGAACTTATGCAAACATATCATTTTCTCCGCCAAAAAAAAAATACAAGAAAAGTAGGCACATAGCTGGAAAAAGTCTTCCTAATTCTAATTTACCAAAGGTCATCATCTATCATGTTGGCTGAAAACTTGAACTGTCAAAAACCTCCCACACTTTCCATAGCAATTTACATAAACTCTTTAAATGAAGCGGAACTGAAAAGCAGGATTTGTTGGGAAAACAACAAATAGTTTAAATTCAGTAGTGCATATGGAAAGGCCATGATAACAGGTAAAATGTTATTGTTATCTGAAACAAGTAATGTATGTTAAATGCTGCACAGACGGGAGGAAAGCAAAACAATAACTAAAGCTGTCAAAAGAGGAGGCAACAGACCACATATCTGCCCCAGGTATAATATCAGATATGATCGATTGGCAACCAAATTCTGCTGGATGCTATCTAGTGGGAGGTAGTGTTTTTTGGTCATAAAATATATCCTACCAGGTGCTAAATGCAATGACAATGTGAATCTACAAGATATTTTTACAGCATATACTTCAAAAGAATTGTCAGCATAGGAAGTGAAGGAATGTAACTGACCACGAATCAAGTGTGATATATGCTAAACAAAGGGATAATACTACCAGCTGTTCAACAATTATAGCCCTATGGAATGAAGAAATCTTATTTTACACAAGATTAACTCAATCAGCATAAAATGAACATAAATGAACAGAAAACTCAATAATTGAACTTAGAGCATGAAATGTATGATAATCCATTGTACTAATACATTAGTAAAACAAATTCACTTACATCCCAGCATTTTTAGCTGCAAGAGCTCCTGCAGGTGCATCTTCAAAAACAAGAAATTTCTGTGAATCTATTGGCCAACCCTGTTAACCCACAAATTCTCTATCAGTTGTTGCATAGCTTGATCCTGGACATTTCAAAGGCCAGATAGAAAGGTAGAAATTTGAAACAAGAGGACAATTCAGCATGTTTGCATTGAGAGAACTGGGGAGAAGTCAAAGTTGAGAGTAATTGACAAACTACTCTTCTAAGGAGAGTAAAGAAGAAAAACTGCCACTTATAGCTTCTTTTAACCACCTTTTAGTCCCTTTGAAAGTTGAGAGATTTTGGTGTGAATTGACAATAAGATCTTCGTTTTCTAATCATTTCTGAAATGAGATGAGCCTTGGAACAACAATAACATTACTCCATTCATATCACAGGTTAAAGCCATAGAAACAGCCTCTTTGCATAGCATGGAAATGCTACGCATATCTGACACTCACTAGATTCTGCAATGCATGAGCCCTGTGGGCTAGGCAGCCCTTTTTATTTTAGAAAATGGCACTTATGTTCATGAATAACACATTAATATTTCATTCCTACTTTTGTCAAATTATTTTGTTCCTCTCCTTATTAGTTTTATCAATTCCAAACAAGCAGAGGGCGTAAACTTCACTTAAAATCACTTCTATGTACTTCTTTCTTATCACTTCTCTTCTCACATAACTAACAATAAAAGCATAATACCTGAAAAATTCCCTTGAACTATTCAGAAAAATTCAAATAAGCCTTTATTCTTTTATCACATTCAATCAACCCTTTGTGCATTTATTTTGAATCAAATAGACTCTTATGGCTAAAAGTTCACTAACTATTATTAGTCAAAATACCACTTGTCATTTTATGCCACATAGTGCAAATATGTCATAGTAGATGATGACATCGAATGCTAATATTGTATGATTACATGTTCACATGGCATTTTCACCCTCCACATCAACATCGCATCAATGCCACGTGGCATAAAGATAACAAGTGATATTTTGACTAATGACAGTTAGTCAACTATTAGTCATACGCACTTATTTGACCCAAAATAAAAGTATAGGCTTAATCGAACACAATAAAAGAATAAAAGTTTATTTGAGTTCTCTTGAATAGTTCAAGGGCTTTTTAAAGCATTATTTGAATTAAAAATAATCTTTATGTAAGTCCAATCATGTATTATCATCATCAAGTACAATAAGAGATAATACTAGGATACATTTATATTATACCTCAAACCTTCTAGCTGCAGCAAAGAATACATCTGGTGATGGCTTGCCTTGTTTAACTTCTGGATCATCACCAAGAACAATATGATGCATCAGTTTAAAAAGATCACCATGTCTTTGTGTTTTTAGCTCAAAATGCCGCCTGTGGCTTCTGCAAAATACATCTAGATAAGTGATGCTTGCATGGCCCTTCAATACCTCAACCATTTCATTGAAAAAGAAAAGGATGGCAAAGATCATTCACGTGTGTATGTACTCCACGTTTATTTGTAAATAAAGCAATAAAAGGGAATAAAAATTGGAAAGGACAAAGCTTACCCTGTTGCCAAGCAAATTGGTACTCCTTTTGCATGGAGGTGTTCAATCAAACGGCTAGCCCCTAGAATAGTAATTTACAACAACTTATTACTTAACTCATTTGCAGTGATAAAAAAGAAAATGCAAATAAAATACTAAGTATATCTTCCCCTTTTGCTGTCCAGTTTCATACATTCACCATCATTGAATCCCTTTTCGTTTACAAGATTTGAGATATTATGGGATATCTTTGTTACAACTATTAGGGGAAGCAACTTAAAAAGTGGCTGGTTCTCAGATGCAGAATCCTTAAAAGTAACTCCTCAGTTGTTCTTGAGCAAGAATCAAAGAATTTCTTTTCTCCATTTTACTCCTTGTACTTTCCCACTTAGAAATTCTCATCATTTGCTACTTTTTTGTTTTGGTTCAAATTTATTATATGCAACTTGCTATCAAATAAAATCTGCTCTGTAGCTTGAAACTATATTTTGTAGGAAATATTTATACAGAACACATTTGTGTAGAAATCAGATGGTTATGATTGATTTAGTGGCTTCAACAACACCAACAATCTAAGCCTTGGTGGTAGCTCTGTAGCTCAAAAAATCCTTTTATAAAAACAGAATCAAAAAGAATTTTATCATAGTGATGTTTGATAATAAGGTATTCAAGACAGCTAAAAACTAAAATGAAATTTGTATGCAACAATACCTCGACAGTCTATATCCATATTCATCTTCCCATAAGTTTTTCTAAAAATCTTTTGTTTGACTTGTGAGAAAATTCCAAAAAGCACAACATTTTAGCAATTTTCTTGATAGTGGTTTCTAACTGATAAAAGCAAAAAAAAAAATCCCTTATAAATTATTTTAATAAGAAATATCATCCTCACCCCAGGAAAAAGGGTGGAGAATCAGCTGTTGAACTTTAATTTTAAAAACAATTGAAACTATGATACGTAAGAGGGGAAAATTGCTAAAGAATCAGTAGGGCCAAGTCAACAACTATTATTATCATTGCATTAAAGATAAGAAAATATTGTATTTCTCAAAACACATCTTTTGAATAGCTCTGATCCTTGTCTTTGGATTCATTATTATCTCCCTAAAGATTAAACAAAGAAATTGCACAAGGTTTTTTATAAATAAGTAACCGACAGATGTAATGTTCTAATAAATAATACCTGGCATGAGCTCACTTGTTGGAAACAATTTCTGCAGCATCGCCTCTCTTTCTACAAGGAAATCCTCAGCTGAAAGAGAATCACTGATCCCAGTCTCTTCAACAAAGACTCGAGCTGCTTCTATTGCTTTCTTCCCCATCATTTTTGCCTTAAGAGACCAATCAAAAGTTTTATTAAATCTAGCAAGAATAACTTCCTGGACTTCAGTGTAGAACTTCTCTGTATCTGCAGAATACAGTAGAATACAGTAGAATACAGTGGATCAGATAGTTTATTTGTTTCCTAGAACAGTTTGTATATACCTTCACCCCAAAAACCATAACAATGCAAGGATTCTATAACGAAAAAAACAGTAATATTTTTGAATTTCCAAAAATCAAACAACAGGCAGAGATAAAAGGAACACCAATGTGGTTGCCATGTAGAAAAATATCAATTTAAAGCCATAAGCAGCAAACAATTAGAGGAACATTTGGTCGTAGACATATAACAATCGAGTTAAATGAAAGGAATAGCATATTGACAACAACTCATAAACTAAATATATTATAATACTATTAAACCGTAATTGTGAGAAACGATTGCATATAATCGAGAAAATGTCGACAACAGAGAAGTATTGGTGAGACAACCATAGAAGTAGCCGACAAGTTTAGAATCAGGTGCATTAGACTAGATCAGCAGCGCCTGTGTCTAAAAATGCGCGGGTAAATCACTACACGAACCAGAACAAAGCATTTGGATATTTAAGGCATCCAGAGAGTCATTGGAATCACTGAATCATTAATCATATATTTTATTCAGGTAAATTCCCCAATGCTGCTAATGGAACTGTAAAATTGAAGCTAGGCCCTACCTTATAGACTGAGGATGGGGTGGAACGTGGGAATTGAAAAAGCTCAGATGGAAAGAAAGAGGAAGACTCAGAGAGAATTTTCGCGTGGAATTACCAAGTAAGAGACCGTCCATGTCGAAGATGGCGTGAGTAATGGTGAGTCCTTTGCCTGAAACAGCTGCCATTGAGAAATCAGTTGTGGCTTTGGCTGGAACTTTCTTCTTCTCTTTTCTGAGACTGCTGCTTGATTTCTGATTCGTTGCCCAACTAGTCGAGTTTAGAGAGGCTGCCTGCCTTGCCTTTGAGTGTGAGAAACTCGGAATCTAATTCCCAGCTATTTTATATGCCGCCAGGGTGGCAATGACTACGAGTAAAAATCTCCTGGAAGTGTAACTCTATCGTGTGCTCAATTTATTTTCTTATATACATTATGTGTCCAAGATATATTTTTATTTTGTAACGCCGTTTATTTGTCATTATACTAATAAAGGGTTGAAAATGTTATCTCATTTTTGCCCCTCAGACTTCAATGTTTTTACACTCCAATCTGCTGTTATAACTTCATTTAGAACAAAAATTTTTTTAAGGTCAATCACTCGCAATCTATTTTTCTTTTAATATATTCGTGTAAGTTGTTTTCAATTTTTATTTCTTTCTTCAATTTTATATATATTCAAGGGCGCATGTGTGCATTGCCCCACAATCGAAAATTTTTTAATTTTTTATATGATTTTTTTTTCAAAAACAAGTGTCACATGTTTTTCTCTTAATCCCTTGTCAAAATGAAACAAATGTAATGAGCTTATGCTTATCACTTATAAGAGTAAACCAATACCCCAAAAACAGGCCTACCAATGACTAATAAACACTAATTAAGCAATTCATAGAAGTATGACTTATAATCACAAGAGATCAAGATCATGACTGTTAGACTTGTCAATATGGGCCTAGCGCCCATTTTTAATTAAAAATTGGATAGATTGGGTCATAAAATTTAGGCTCATATTAAAATCGAGTCTAAATGGGTTAACCCGTTTGGGTTAAGGGTTGACCCGAGTTTGTGCTGGCCAGTCCGGTGGGCCAAAAGAAAAAAAA